TTTTTTTAATATTTATTTTTTAGTTTTCGGCGGACACAACATCTTTGTTTGTATGTGGTGCTGAGGATGGAACCCGAGCCGCACACATGCCAGGCGAGCGTGCTACTACTTGAGCTACATCCCCAGCCCCTAGAAGAATGATTTTTAGGTGTTTCTTTAATCCAAGACAAAATTTTACCCATAGAATATGTAATATTTGTCTTTTGTATATTAGACTTACAGCAAAAGTTGAGTGATAAAAGTTACCTGGACCTTGTTCACCAAAGTCAAATTACACTGACAGAAAGAATTATAGTTCTTTTCTTCTAGTACCCAGATAAGGAAAAAAGAAGTTTTTTATTTGTTTGTACTGTAGATTGAACCTATGGGTGCTTTACCACTGAGCTACATCCACAGCCTTTTTTAAAATATTTTTATTTTGATACAGGGTCTCTTTAAGTTGCTTAGGGCCACACTAAGTTGCTGAGGCTAGCCTTGAACTTGTGATCCTCCTGCCTCAGCTTCCCAAGTCACTGGGATTACAGGTGTTCATCACTTGGCCTGATGAGAAGTTTTATTTGATATAATATCCTATGACTAATGAATAACAAAACAGGACCCAACCAACCAGTTATATAGAAAGATAATTTGCAGGAAAACAACTCTCTGTTTTTAAGATTTGTTTTCTTCAACTTTTAAAATTTATTTTTATTCAATAGGATTTTTACCTGTTATAGAGAAGGAGGAATTATACAAGATTTTTAATTTTCTTTTCAGGCTTACTCAATGCCAGATATGGCCGAGGATGGGTTGATCACAGAAGATTAGCTGTTAACAGCTTTCGCTATTTTGGATATGGCCAAAAGTCTTTTGAATCTAAAATCTTAGAAGAAACCAAATTTTTCATTGATGTTATTGAGACATACAAAGGTCGACCTTTTGACTTTAAGCAGTTAATAACAAATGCTGTTTCAAACATAACTAATCTGATCATTTTTGGAGAACGATTCACTTATGAAGACACTGATTTTCAGCACATGATTGAGTTATTCAGTGAAAATGTGGAGCTAGCTGCCAGTGCCTCAGTTTTCCTATATAATGCCTTCCCATGGATTGGCATCTTACCCTTTGGAAAACATCAACAGCTATTTAGAAATGCAGCTGTGGTCTATGATTTTCTCTCCAGACTTATTGAAAAAGCTTCCATCAACAGAAAGCCTCAGTCACCTCAGCATTTTGTTGATTCTTATTTAGATGAGATGGATCAAGGTAAAAATGACCCATTATCTACTTTCTCCAAAGAAAACCTAATTTTCTCAGTGGGTGAACTCATCATTGCTGGAACTGAAACAACAACCAATGTATTACGCTGGGCAATTCTTCTTATGGCCCTTTATCCCAACATTCAAGGTGAGGATTCTTTTGATGATCTCAGGTAGGGATCATATATGTTTTAAGGTCTTTAACCATGTAGAAAGCATTTTTAAGAATTTATGCTAAGCTTGCCAAGATGACAATATTTCATAGTAATGAGGAGTTTTCAATTCTAGTATTAAAAAATAAAAAAAGCACCTCTAGGGCTGAGGTTGTGGCTCAGTAGTAGAACTCTTGCCTGGCACATATGAGGCACTGGGTTCAATTCTCAGCACCACATAAAAATAAATAAAGTAAAGGTATTGTGTCCATCTTAAAGAAAATACACTTAAAGTAAAAAGCAACTCTGAAATGGATCTTATTATGTCTATTTTATGAATGAGGATGAGGGCTGAGTGTCTGGAAGTGACACAGCTGGGAACTGGACTCTGGTTTTTCTCATTCAAGTTTTATGCTTTACTCAGGAAAATTCCTTACTGAAAATGATATTATCCCAATTCTAAATTTATTTGATTTTTAAATTTTCTCTCCCATTTCTGGGGATTGAACCTGGAGGTGCTTTACCACTGAGCACAGGGTCTCAGTAATTTGTCCAGGCTGGCCTCGAACTTGGAATCTTTGTGCCTCGGCCTCCTGAGTAGCTGAGATTACGGACATATTCTACTACACCCAGCTTAATTTTTGTCCTTAATCCTTGTAATATGTTGTTCATGACAAGTTACCCAGAGCATTGGCTACTGTTATAAGACAT